GCTTTCAATAGAGACACCAGAGAAATATTTCCCCATAAGGGGAAAACAACAGAACCAATGCTATGAGGAATGGCAACTGACTCCGTTCAGTTAGAGACTGGAAGGTCTGGTGCAGCCACTTCACAGAGCAGACCTGTGTTAAACCCATCAGGAGCAACTCAGCTCCAGAAAGTCGCTGTGTAACCTGGAATTGGGCCTGGAGCTGTCAGATATTTTGATCTGTATAAGGAGCTAGAAACAAACATTATGAACTATTTAATTTTAAAATATCGGTTCGGGTACACTCCCAGGCCAATAGTTGGCTATTTTTTTTTTTTTTTTTTTTGAGACAGCCTCAAGCTGTCCCCCTGGGTAGAGTGCCATGGCATTACAGCTCACAGCAACCTCCAACTCCTGGGCTCAAGCGAGTCTCCTGCCTCCGCCTCCCAAGTAGCTGGGACCACAGGCGCCCGCCACAACGCCCGGTTATTTTTTGGTTGCAGTCGTCATTGTTGTTTAGCGGTCTGGGCTGGGGATTCGAACCTGCCACCTTAGGTGTACGTGGCTGGCGCCTTAGCCGGTTGAGCTATAGGTGCTGAGCCAGTTGGCTATTTTTGATCTAAATTATAAACAGTTTAGAACAGGGGTTTTGTTCATTTCTGTGCTCTGTGTCTGAAATGGCTCCCCTCCCTTACTGAGTTGTCAATAAACCTGAATAAGAGTGAAGAAATGGACACTGTCCTTGAAAAGTTATTAGGGATAAAAAAAAATAGTATTACTAGTGCTAACATTGCCTCACAATATCAGTAACTGAAACAGAATTTAGAGGGGATTAAATTGGTATTGATGTGTGATATTTTTATTAGTTACACCTTCAGTTATGGGCTAAATTGTCTCCTCTGCCTTAAATCCAAACCCCCAGTTCTTCAGAATGTGACTGTATTTAGAGTTTGGGTTATTAAAGAAGAAATTAAGGTAAATGAGGTCATTGAGAGGGACCCAAATCAAATAACTGGTGTCAATATGTAACAGAGACGATGGCCTGAAAAAGAGTACAAATGTTTTCTGTCTCTTTAAAACTCCCGAACCCTTTGTGAGAACTAAAACCCGCATCCTGCCTCGGCCAGTTGTCTCTGTTCTTTGTACTGTGTTGGCTCAGCCTCACTGTCTGGTCTGAGGCAGCCAAGCTTGGAGGTTTGGACAGGTGAAGGTCACCAGATTGTCTTCACTACCGATGGGAGATGGGATCACTCAGAAAAATCAACTGTCATTCTCCTAATTTGCCACAAAATTAATAAACTCCTCTCTCTTTTCTTCAACCACTTGTTCCAGTTCCTCTGATGTGGCCTGGGGACAAGTGCCAAGCTTTCAGTAACACAGTAAGAGGAAATTAGGTCACAGACATTTGGAGAAGGAGACCACGTGAGGACACAGAGAGGAGGCAGAGAGCTACAATGCCAGGACAGAGGTCTTTGCCTTATAGGAGCCAACCGTGCTGTCCCCGTGACCTCAGACTTTTAGCTTCCAGAAGCGTGAGCAAATAAATATCTGTGGTTTAATCCACTCAGTCTGTGGCACTTTGTTAAGGCAGCTCTTGCAAACTAAGATACCTTTCATTAAGTTTAAAAACATAAAGACCACACAATAGCTGTGGATTAATACACTATATGGGAATTTAATCTCATTCCACATTTACTCTTAGGGGGAAATAAGTCTCAATATGAGTTTTTGAATTATTCAAACTCTTCAGCAAACTTTGCCTCAAATAAAATACCACTGTCTTAAATGTTAGTGGCGTTCCTATGACAACAATTAACCTAAGTTCTCACTCATTCCTACCCCTGCTCAGCAGGTTGGAGTTCACTGGAGCGGTGCAGGGTGCAAGCTCTACAGCCAGACTGCTTTCACTCACCATCTACTTCACCACCGACTGTGTGACTCTGGGCAGTTACTTAAAAAGCCTGGGGCCCATTTTTATCAGGTATCTGCACAGCAGAGATCAGAGCACCTGCACTAGAGGTTTCTGGAGGATTCAATGAATTGGTATACACAAAATATGCAGAACAGCACCGGGAAGAGCAAATCTTTTGTGCTGTTGATTGTTCCCCTGCCTGTTAAGGCTCCAATGATCTCCTTGGGGGAAAGCCTACTTTTCCTTCAGAAGGAAAGATACCTCTTCTGTGAAGGGTCAGTAGCTCCACCTCTCTTTCTAATCAAGTGGCATAATAAATAAATTTGTGTTAACTACGATGTTGCAGAGATGAGCTTTGGCTTCCAACGATCTGCATTCAAATGGGCATGTATAGATTTTTTCCTTTTAACTGTTCAGCAATTTTAGACAATTCACCTAATTTTTTTGAGTTTCCACAGCTCTCCGTCATGGCATATAAAATGTCTGATTTAAAATCAACAGTTTAGCTATAGTTCAAACAATTAATCAAAGCATGCAATTAAACTGTCAACACAGCTTTGCCATCTTAAGGATAGCTGGTTTATGGCAGCAGTGAAGAAGCCTAGAGAGAGAGTGATGAAATTGCAAAAGGCATTTTCCAGAGCTTGCTGAGAACTGAATATTTTTCCTTATAAGTGGTCCAAAGCCTGGAGGAACTGGTAGTCGGTTGGTGCAAGGTCTGGTGGGTGCAGCAGAGGACAATTTCCAAGTCCAGCCATATTGTTTATGCGGCACGTGTTTGTGAGAAGTTTGCTAATTCATGCAGAGGTTGAACTGGACACCCTTCCACCATAGCTTTCAGCTCATCATTAACCTCCTTGGTCTCACATCGCCCACCTGGTTCATTTTCAAGATTAAAATCACCAGAATGGGACTTCTCAAAACCATCACTGTACTGTGTGTTCATAAGCCACATCTCTCCCAAATGCTTCGTTGATTACTTCGAGCTGCCAATGCTGCACCGGTTCGAAGAAAAAACTCATATTCGAAAATAACAAAAGTTTTCATTTATCCATGGTTTCACCAAAATTGCTCTAAAGAAATCTGAAATATAATTACAAGCCAAAACTTGCATTTTAAAGACACATACCTTCACAAAAGGTGTCAGAGCATCAACTGTCAAACTTAGTACTTGCAGACATCCAGCATTTTGTAACCTAACACTGTAGTACATCACCTGACGTGATGGTGCTCGGTGTTTTTCGAATGAGTATAATTTTTCATTTGTAGGTTGGAGACTATAGTAAATTATTGCAGGATGTCTAAAGTGTGGAACCAATACTTTGGAGGCCCCAACATAATTTTAAGTGAGACTGTTAAGATGTTAAGAACAGTCATTCAGAAAAAGTTCTTCATTCAACTTTATTTTAGTACATTTGTTTAATCAAGCAAAAAGATGTGTTGTGCCTGTATTTTAAAATTCTCTTCTAATGCTTGCTAATCTCCCTTTTTCATCAAAAAAAAAAAAAACTGAATCCCGTTTTTATTCATTAAAATTTTATTTACTGTTACTAACATTTTTTATTTATGACATGCTATTGTGCTTTTTAAAGGCAATCATAAGAAGTTTTCTTTTAAGACAAATTTATTTACATATAATAGATAAATTAGCTTAAAGAAAAATTATTATAATAGCTGTTTGAGGATTTACAAAGATACTCTCATCGACAGGCTCCTTTGAGCCCTCTTCTTGAATAGGGCTTAACCTCAGCCTGCAAAGAACACAGACTCTCAGCACAAATTGCTTCATTCACACTCTCCCCCTCCCACGCACCGTCCCATACACACATCAGGAGACTTGAATACACAGTAAGACAGTTTCCCTAAAATGACTCTAGCGGCCTCAAGTTCCTGTCTGAGAACCCTCAAGGATACCTAAATTATTTGTATGTTACAGTCAATACCTGAATTTAGGGCCCTTGTCTCCTAGTTAGGTAGGTGTCTAACTTTCTTTAGCACTAGTTAACAAACCTAGATGGATTTCAAACCAAACAACACCCACCCCCACCTACCCTCTGCTTATTGAAAATTTCTGCTTCCCTACTCAGGCTAAGCCCAGTTGTTCCCTCCCCATTCTCCCTTTAAGATGCAAAGTCACCTCTGTGGACCTTCCTTATTGCAATAACATATTACTATTTCGAATCTGCTCGAAACACATTATAACTAGTGTTCAGCTTTATTTTTTACAAGATACGGTGAAAATTAATGATAATATACAGATTATTAAAGTCTGAGCAACGCTGAACTATTGTTAAATAGTTAAGCTCATTCTCTAACAAATGTGGCAGAATTAGTGATGGATCAAGTGTTTCAATTCATAATAGTTTCAACAAAGAGCTGAGCTTGCCACAAAATTACTGATTCTAAGGAGTCTCTAAAATAATGAAACTGTCAAAGGTTTTGGAAAGAATGTAAGGATTATGCTATCTATCATACGGTGACCTGAACACAGCTATCATATCCCTCCTGTGCACCAAAGTCTGGATATTCTATTCCAGAAGAGTCCAAAGGAAATAGTGGGAGACAAACCCTGGACGCTGCCCAGGTCTCGTTTTCTCTTCATCCCTCCTCCTCACTTCGCCAGTGCTCATTTGAGTTAAGCTCAATCACTGAGATGTGGACAACCAGATTTTTAAAGTTCCATTGTTACTTTGCCATTAGGTAGGCGTCTAAGTCCCGATGTTGTGCTGATAAACGGATGGTTGCGTTCCCTGACTACCACTCGCTCCTCACTCAGTTCTCCCGGGAGTGTGGAAGCCACGGAATCAGGAGGCAGGTGCCGGTCCGCACGCCCGGCTCCACCATCCCCGTCTGTGGGGTCGGGACTTCCCGAGGTGGCTGCGGACACTGACAGTCACACGCGTCAGCACCGCAGTGAGAAGAAAGAAACCCCGCAGAGGGACGGACAGAAGCCAACCTCGGCTCTAACCGCACCGCCATACTCGGGAATTAATTGAGAGCTTCCGCTCACGTTACTTCTGCAAATCGCCGTCCGCAGACGCGCTGGCGTCATGCGCCGTTCGACGTGCTGACGTCAATGAGAGGCGCCGTGTCGCCGGCGAGTCCACGGAGCCGCTGGTTGGACAGATGTCTTCAGCTCTGGGTCTTCTCCGCCCTCGCGGGCGTGTTTCAATCCTGGCGGCCGGGCCCTAGGGAGACCGTGGGCGATGTCACTGCTGTGTCTCAGGACCCTTTCCTGACATACCGCCGCCGGGAGCATGCGGATCCTCGTCGGTCGCAGCTGGGGGCGCGGCCTTGCCCTCGCGCCGTGGGCCACAGGGGCCGCGCATCGGAGCCTTCCAGGGCCCGGGTCTTGGGCCCCCGACAGGTCCTACAGCTCTGCAGACCTCAAGGTGACCGCCTCCTAGTCTCCATTAACGACGTTTTAAAACTTTGGAGTGCCCAGGTGATCTTGGAAATGCGTAAGGTTTCCTGGGATGGACTCACTGTGAATCCATCTTGCTAGTCTGTAAAAGGAGGCAGAGCGGAGAGCGCAGCACCTGCTTGGTTTTCTAATTCCTCCACCTCTCACTACTGTGACCCTGGGCAAGTCACTTATCTTCCTGCGCTTTCTAATTGGTATTGTCAGCCGATTCGTTGATGTTATTATACTAGGAACTGGTCACAGCGCTTTGCACGTATTAATTTATTTAATTTTCCTAAAAGCCTAGCGGGGAAGCTGCTACTATACAACCTTCATTTCCCTGCAACTTAATAACTACTAACGTGCCCAGGGCAAGTTACTTTGTGACTCCGCCTTCTTTTTTGATGGAGGTACTAATCAAACATCCAGTGAATTAATTTGAGAGGTTTATGTGATGTAAGGCGTGGAACTTTTTAGATTAATACCTAGGACGCAAGAAGTGCTGGTTATTGTTTAGCTTCTCTTTGTTTTATTATTTTATCTCAGCCAGAAGAAACCTATGTAATTGTTGAGTCCAATTAATCAACTTTTTAATAGGCCTGTGGCTTTAAAAAGGCGTTTGTATTGCAGTTCGAACTTCTTAAAAATGGTAGTTTTGAATACCTTTGGCAAAAAATGAGAACATCTACAGGACAGACATCAGGATGAGTTTGAGTTTCTTTGCAGAATATCTTTAAGATATAAATATACTTTTATTGTCTGCTTTATATTGGGGCAGTTACAAAAAGAAAACTATATTCCATTGTTAATTTCATGTTTTTTGCGATTAGCGGGTATCCCAAAAGTCACCCCTGGGAAATGAGAATTAATATCTACATGTATTTACAAAATACATAGGGAAAAATGGGAATTTATAGCTAATTATATTTACAAAATGTTTATTTAAAATTTTATGATATTTACAAAATATTTTGTACATAAGGTTCCTCTTTTTTAAAGCTACAATTTTCCCATTTTCTCTATGTATGGCAACTTTAGAAATGCCTTTTTGGACACCCTATATATGACCGTAGATTTGATTGGATGAAATTGTTTAGAGTACAAAAGAACTGGTGTATTTTACTGGAATAGCAACTTCCACTAGTTAGTGATATTTCAGCAAAATTTTAAGATGTGTACATTAAAACCCAGGAGTTTAACATTAAAATATTTAAAACTTTTAAGTGATCACACCTTTTTTTTTTCCTCCAGAGAAGTTGCACAGTAACAAATTGTATCTAAATTAAAATTTTTAAGGCTTTATTTGGAAGATAAATTTTTAAATAGATTTGATTCCTTTTTTTTTTGCAGTTTTTGGCAAGGGCTAGGTTTGAACCGCTACCTCTAGCATATGGGGCTGGCGCCTTACTCCTTTGAGCCATAGGCGCCGCCCATTCCTGATTAAATGTGGGGCAGTTTCCTCTCATTTTCCAGTTTTTCTGTCATTTCTTTTCCTGAGCATATTTTGCTGGACATGGCATTCTCAGGTCTGAGTACCTTGTGTTCTCAGTTCATGAAAATAAATTCAGTTCTTTCCAGAGCGGCTCTAAAAGTGATGGAAATATTAAGGGATTATTTAGCTATCTGGGCACCTTTGATGATTAAACTTTTAGATGAGTTTGATGAGTGCTCTTAATATATTCCTTGTAGTGTTAGCTTAGGCATCCATGTCTTTATGGTCAAAATAATCATATAAGCAATATAAATAAAATTATTTAAGGAAAATTAAAATAATTAGTATACTTCCATACAAAATTTATACTTCTAAATGTGATATTTTTCTCTTACCTCTTTTTTTTTTTTTTTTTTTTAGGAAAAACTTGACATGTCTAGATTTTCTGTTGAAAATATCAGAAATTTTAGTATTATTGCACACGTGGATCATGGCAAAAGTACTTTAGCAGACAGGCTCCTTGAACTAACAGGTATTTTTATTTTATATTATACACTTAATCAATAGTTGTAAGAACATGGGGATTACTTTTTCCATACTGTGTTAAATGTTGATTTTAATCTTCCATGTGATACTTTCTACTTTAAAGTCCAGAGAAACAGCACTGTGTTTCTTTTTATAGGGACAATTGACAAAACAAAGACTAATAAGCAGGTTCTTGATAAATTGCAAGTGGAACGAGAAAGAGGAATCACTGTTAAAGCGCAGACAGCTTCTCTTTTTTACACTTGGGAAGGAAAGCAATACCTTTTAAATCTCATTGATACACCGGTAAGTTTAATATTAATTCTGCATGTATTGTTAACATCAACCTTGTGTTAATAGTGCAAACAAATCCTTAGTTTTTGAAATGATCTAAACATCTGCTTTTGCTTTTTGTTTTTTCAGTGTTCTTGTGTTAGTGTAAATTGTTTATTTCAAAAGTGGTAACTTAATAAAAGGAAACCTATACATGTATTTAACAACTTCTTAGGGAGTAGAGTCAGTAGATGGACCTCAGTGAGCCTTCCTAAATTGATAGATAACATTCAGAGGTTCCCTGCTTTTGTTTCTCAGGGCCATGTTGATTTTAGTTATGAAGTATCCCGGTCACTTTCGGCCTGCCAGGGCGTTCTACTTGTGGTTGATGCAAATGAGGTAGGCATTTCTTTATTTCATATGTTCTGACGTGTTACGTGATATGTCTGCTTGATTGTTTCAAGAGGTTTTCCATAAATGTGTTTTGCAAATACAATTTTTGTGTTTGACAAAAATAGATTATGCCAATTCATAAACTTTGATCTTGTCAACCTGAAATTTTATTATAATAAAGCATTTTGTGGCATTAACTTTTTGTCTTAATATTTTAAACTGATCAGAGGAATTGTTCAAAGATTGTATTTTTTTTGTAAGTATGATATAGGATTATCATGTGAAGCCCCCTACCCC